AAAAAAAAAATTAAAGTAGTAATAGGAGTTACAAAAGATTATTAAAAACACTTGCAGTAAACCCTCAGACCACTAGGTATTTATTTGTGTCTGAACATATCAGTTGATTCCCTTCAATTTCACAGGAAAAGTATTGCTTCTGATCAAAGCTCCTAATTTAATTGTGCTCCTACTTCTAAGAATTTAGATGCATGTTCCTTTGCTCTTGGGCAGTGGAAAAAATTCCTCTCTGCAGCAGCTGTAAATCTATGCAAGTTTCTTCCATATCAAACTCAAACAAAAAAATCTCCCTTAAGAGTCCAATTAACCACAATCACCTAATTTCTCTACTATAATGAGAATATGCTAGCACCTACTTAGGCACTATGTATCTCTTACTTTCAACCCATCCAAAAGCCTATACGGCATGCAAGAGCGAAATAATGTAAAGATGTAATTTTAAATGAAAAATGAAATAACGAAATAGTACAAATAGTCTTAAAAGGCATATTCACTTTGTTCATTTGAAAATATGATAAAAAAAGCAGGTTAGTGATCTGTTGATCTTTTAAATGACCTTGGATTTTAATTAACAATGTTACATTTAAAATATTTCAAAATTAATATTCTAGAAAGTATAATGTACAATACTAAATTTAAGATCCTATTCAAAAACACTACTCTGACAATCTAAAACATTAAATTTAACTATTTTAAGCTGTAAATTAATGAAACAGAAATAATTTCTGATATTACTTTCTCTTAAAATTGAGGAATTGACATAGTATATTAGTATTAGGCATACCATAACGATTCAATATTTGTATGCTGCAAAATGATCACTATAAAACTTATAGTTAATATACATCATCTCACAAATTTTGTTTTCTTATGAGAACTTTTAAGATCTCTTAGTAAATGCAAATATTACTTAGTAATATGTCAAATATGCATTATAGTATTGCGACCTATAATCTTATACAATCACCATGCCATACATTAATTACATCTTCAAGACATATTGTATAACTGAATATTGTACATTATGACCCCCTTCACGCTTATCTTTACCTTTGATAGTACCAATCTGTTCTCTGTATCTACAAGCCTGGTTTTTCTGTTTTTACATTTCACTTTTAAGAGAGAACATACAATAATTGTCTTTTCTAACTGACTTTGCTTTGGCATTACTTTTTTAAAAATGCCATTCAGGAATAGAAGCTCCAGGCCCTTAACTCCATACCTTGTTCAAATCTGACTATTTCTGATAATAAGCTAGTAGTCTAGTAACTACATAAAAATAAAAAAAAAATCAAGTAATTATTCAGATTTTTCTCCCTATTTTTAAAAAGATAGCTTCAAGATTGGCTAGCCATAGCCTTTATCAACCTTTGTTATGTTCATTTTTCTAAACTGCTTTAAATGTATTTTTCTGTGTTCCCAGAAAAAAAAAGTTAGGGGACTATTGTCAGCTTATAAAAACATTCATAAGGGTAACTATAGAGGTTTGTTTCAATAAACTATCTAACCTATAAGAAGCTGACAATACCAGTATTTTTTAACAACCAAGACAGATAACACACTTATTTTCTCATTTTCATAATTATACTATTCTCTAAAGAAAACTAGCTGCCTGTATGAAAATAAAACAATTATTTTATCCTAAGCATCTGAGAAATGCCCATTACAAAATGCTAAATAAATGTCATTATAGTGTCCAAGAAATTATATGGAAGAAGGCAACCTAGATTTCTAAGTTTTCTTTTCCTCCCTAATAACTGAGGAATACTGAGCATCAATTTAAAAAATCATAGAATAGATGGGAGTTTTAAAAAGACAAACTCTCTGGTACTCCTTAAGAACCAAACAATCTGGTACAGCTAGAAGTACATAAGGGCAAAACAGGGGGTATGGGTTGAAGAAACTAGCAGCAGACAAGTCTACTTACAACTATTAAATAGGAACATAACTTATATAGATAAAGAACCGCTTTGTCTTGGGGGGAAGGGATGAAAATATCTGAATGAGGATTTGTTCAATGCTTGAACAGGTAAAATGTGAAGATAGAAGCAAGGGAAGCAATAGGAAGGCTGTACTATAAATCAAAGAGAGAGTAAGGGCTTTAACTATGAAAGTATGAAAGGGCAGGAAAAATAGTGAAAGAAATGTACAATAAAAGACACTAATGGAGCCTTCCTGAAAGTGTCAGCACTATCAAGCTATCACCAGCCACTGCAGCATGAGTTTAATCCTTGGCCATGGAGCTGACCCACATGGCACAGTAGACTTCTCCAGTCTCACCCGCTGCTCCCCTCAGCAGTGTATTTCAGTAGATCCACCTGTTCTGCTCCCCACTCTGTCTTTGGTGATTCTTCTCACCTCCTCCCACCCTATACCTCTGGCCTACACTCCAGTTCTTGTATGCATGAATAAGTAAAAATGAATCTTTAAAAAGAAATCGTGCCATTTCCCAAAGCTTGATCTGGATCATCTTCAGACTTTGAAATATGAAGGATTTTAAAATAACATGCTTATTAATTCAGCCACATGCTTTACTGTCCAACTTAAGCAAATTTGCAGAAACACATTTTCACAAGTCCTAGAACACTTGGAAAGTAAGAGAAGGCATGCAAATGAACTGTGACTGTACTACAGCAAGGATAGGCCGTGTCCATACACAGACTGTATTCCTCATCTCAGCTTACCAGCTAAAAATATTCTATGTTGGGGGCCCTCCCTGGTGGCGCAGCAGGTTAAAGCACTGCACTGAGAAGCTAAAGCCACTTCTGCATGAGTTCGATTCCCGCCTGCCCCGGAGGTGACCACATGGCGCGGCAGACCTCTCCTGACCCGTCCGTTGCTCCCCTCAGCAGTGTACTTCGTCGATCTGCCTGTTCTGCTACCCCCTCTGTCTCTGGTGAATCCTCTCTTCCTCTACATCTCTGGCCTGTACCCCAGTACTGCACGGATAAATAAATCTTTAAAAAAAAATGCATTAATTCATTGCATAAACCTTAAATTAGTGTTCATGCACATAGATGAACAGACAAAAAGCATAAGATACCATTTCTTTCCTCAGGAGATAGCTAACGAGGTGATGAGGAATTAGTTTTATGGCTAGTCAGAAAGAAAAAGAAAAATACTGGATGGCTTCACTCACAGCAGGAGCAAAAGGGGCCCGTGTTGGGGGTGGGGGGGAGTGATTATAATGAAGTAAAAATAAAAATCGATGAATCACTAAAAACCAAAGACACTCTATGGGGGTGGAGAGGGGAACAGGACCAAACTGGGGTGGGAAGAGCACACAGGAGTATGGTGATAGCACAGAGGTGAATTGGGGATGAGAAGTCCACGGGGATTACAACCAAGATAAAAAAATGTACAAAATGAAGAATGATGTAAAAATAAATGAATGAATGCATGCATGCATTAATAAGGAAATATTAAAAGCATACCAAAAAATAATTTTATGACTAAGAAGTATGATTAGGGACAGATGTGGGCTTGGAATTCTCTGGCTTTATCATGTGGGGAATTCATTGAGTTTATCAAGTTTCCCATATTTATGGGACTATTTTTGCCAGCTCTGGAAAGTTTCTAGTGTTAATTCCTTTAAGGAGTTTTTCTGGGCCCTCCCTGATGGCGCAATGGGTTAGGACAGAGCACTGCAAGCCAGCCACAGCCACTTCAGTGCAAGTTCAATCCCTGGCCCCAGAGGTGACCCACATGGCACAGCAGCCCTCTCCTGTCTGGCCCGCTGCTGCCCTCTGCAGTGTACTTTGTCTATCTGCCTGTTCTGCTCCCCGCTCTGTCTCTGGGTACAGCACCTCTGGCCTGTACCCCAGTTCTGTGCACATAAGTAAATAGAATCTTTTTTAAAAATCCAGGGAATCTTTTATAAAAAAATAAATAAAAGTTTTTCTGAACTTCAATATTTCTTTCCTTCCTAGAACTCAAAGTGAAAAAAATTTTAGATCTTCTGACACTGTCACAGATATCTAAGGCTTTGAAGAGTTATCACCTGCCCCCCAATAAAACTGGAAAATTTTATTGATTAAACTTCAAGTTCACTGACTTTTTGCTTTCTCATTACTATTCTGTTATTGAGTCAGTGAGCTTTTTTAGTTCTAAGTTTTCCCATAAGGTTCCTCATTATCTTCTATTTTTTTAACTGAGACTTTATTTTTTCCATTTCTTTCCTTTGCATTTGTGCTTAGTTGTTGGGGGACTTTTGTTAACAACTTCTTAACTATCTTTATGAGGTAATTCCATCATCTATGTCACCTCAGTATTGAGAACTGCTGATCATCACTGAACACCACTTGAGAACTTCTTGCTTTTTTTTTTTAATATACCAATTAGTTTTGAATCATATCCTAGACATTTTGATTATTATGTTATAAGACTCTGGGTTTTGTTTATATCTTACAAAGAACACTGGTTTGTATCAGGACACAAGACAGACAGAAGTTTCTGCAAGCTGCCTGTGCTGTGGTTCCAATAATAGTTCATTTTCAAACCCTTTGCAGGGCTATTTGGATTTTACTTGCATGTGTACCTTATAAGACCAGTCTGAGACTTGGGTGACAGTCTATTACAAAAGCTCAGTTCTCAAAGTAGATAGGCAATTAAATTTCAGATTCACACATGTACCATTCAGGAATAAACCTGCAAGCATAAGCAACTTTAAGAGTTGCTTTCCCAAGCAACTAACACTCTGTAAACATCATAGTACTTTTAGGTTTGCCTGGGGTTCCCATTCTCCTGTCACCCATCCAGAAAGCTTAGGATTTATTTATTCCTACTTCCTGTTAACTATGCCAAACTGCAGAAAGACAGACAGAGGGAGAAGAAAAAGCCAAGGAGGATTTACCCGTTTCTCTTGAGACTACAAATCCTCTAGTCAGAGAGGGCAGCTCAACTCTCTACATTTTAGGTCTGTTCCCATAAGTGTTCTGGTTACAATCCTTAGCACTACTGGTACTGCCAAGGGAATTCTTAGATACTGGAAGAAATGATAACATAGAAAACAAGAAATAATTACAGAAAAGAGGAGAGATTCACATGTCAAGTTGCCTGGGCCTTGGGAAGGTGTGTCGTTCAATCTGAGTAATTTATGATATGGCCTTCTTATAACTCACTCTTTGTAGTTAGCCTAAGTGTTTACATGAGGGTATTTTTTATAAGATTAACATTTAAATGATAGACTGGCTAAAGGAGATTGCCCTCTCTAAACTGAGTGATCCTAATTCAACCATCTGAAGGAACTGAAAAGAACAAAAGGGCTGACCACCCCCTGAGGAATAAAGAATTCTTCCTGCTTTCCTTTAGAAATATCTCTTCTTCACCATTGGCCTTCAACAGGAACCACACAATTGGCTTTGTATTTAGGACTTCAGACTCAGTATGAAACTACAGTGTGGGTGCACTTGGGTCTCCAATTTACCAGCTATCCCTGAAGATTCTAAGACCTAACTGCCACTACAATAAGCCAATTTCTTAATTCAATGTGGCAGTGGGAAGATGTGCACAGGAGCATGAGAGGGCATATACAAACACACAGCCTATTGGTTTTGTTTCTCTGGAGAATTCTAATATATCTACTCTCATCACTCCTATTTAACATCATATTGAAAGTTCAAGCCAGACACTGAAGGAAGAAAAATGTCTGAAAGGAAGCTACTAGTCGATCCTTTTCATTTTTTCAAATTTCTCCTAACACTACTCATGATGTTAACAATTAAAGGCAATGGATTGTAATTACAAGAAAACTGAATCACAATTACATTAATTTACTTAAATGCATTTATATAACTCCACTGGGAACAAAAAGGGTAATAAGTAGGGGGAAAACCAGAAGAATAGAGGAGAGATACCTTAAATGAACATGTTCCTATATGAGATACCTTAAATGGACATTATTCCTATATGAACATAAATAATAGAATCAGCCCAGCTTGAAACTATTTATGGAAGTTGATTAAGAAAAAAATCTATAGAAATAAAGTGTTACTGACAGAGAATTTCTTTCTTACTGAAAAAAAGTATAGCATAATGATTAGGAAAAATAAACTATGTGGTAAAAGCTTTCTTTTATCTTACTCCCTCAGGAAGAAATAAAATGATAGACTATAGAAAAATAAAAACTATAAAAAGTTAAGTAATTTATGAATTATCCACAGAAGATAAATGAGAAGAACAAATAGGAATTCACATTTACTATAATGTAATTTACTGTAATGATTGGTACAAATCACCAACCAAAACCAAATGTAGCTGTCATACTCTATTTGATGTTTAGATGAATTGGCCTACAAATGAGTTTTGCCCTTATGAATGAAATGCCAAGGAAATTTGTTTGGTATTTACTGATATTTACTAAACCAGACGACTGTCCAAGCTCTTGTGAATAAATCAAGTAAATAAATGAAGCTGTAGAATAGTGAACAAAACTACCATTCAACAAAATTTTAAACTAAAACCCCTTCAATCCTCAAATGGTATGTATGTATGTATTTGTGGAAACATGTAAGTCACTCCCACAAAAACTTGCTGACCTTAAATCCCATCTGAGGGGAAAGAAATGAGGAGAGATCACTAATTTTTTTAGTCATGTTTGAACTTTTTTTTACCTGTTGCAGCAATCATGTTACACTTTTGCAATTGAAAAAAAATAAGAAAAATTTAAATTAATGAAAAAAACAGAATTACCTCTAAAGCAGAACAAAGGGTAATTAACCGGAAGCATTAAAAATTAAAATCTAGCTGGAATATAAATGAAAAAAGCCTTTATTTTAAGGGAAATTGCACAAAAAATCTGTAATGTCCATTTACAAAAGCAAGCCATTGGTAATGTTTAGCAAGATGCCAGCAAACAACTCAAATTAACTAAACCTCTTTCTTGGATCACAAAACTATTCACTCAAGTTCCTGCCAGCTAAAATGGGTAATAATGCATGCTCTACACTTTAACACAAAATGCATTATTAAGTCTTCACTTAATTGTATGGAGTTGCGCAATAAATTCCCATGTGTTAAAAACACGTGTTCTATAATGTAGTCATCTATTTTTCCCAGGAACATTATATTTTCTTTGTGTCACACAAGCTTAAAAGGAAAAGAAAAAAAAAAAAAAAAGGTGGCTGAGAGAGAAAAGGCTAAGTGCTATAGGAAACTGTGACCATGATTTTGATAAAATACGATTTACATAATAATTACTGGGAAAATGTTGATTTATCCAGTATATCTCCAACTATTCAGAGTATTCTAATTCTCTCTTAATAAATCCCCATAGTCCATCTAATATAATTAACATGAGTAAAATTTAACCTCCAATGTGATATTCTTTGCATTTATCAGTGAGTTATTCAGGTAATAGAGCATGTAACAAATTCAAATCTCATCAAGTACTCACTTTTACAGTTTCTTCTGTGTTAAGTTTATTTCCTTTAACTAATAAAATCTGGAAAGGGTTGCTGTTTTCCCAAACATGCTGTAAAAGATGAAATAATACAATTATTTTAATGAAAGATATGGCTATTCTATACAAGTAATGAAATCTTATCAGTTATTGTAAGTTTTGGGAAAATAATAAAAACAGACCTCTGAGCTAACAAGTGAAAATTTGAAATTAAGCATCATAACATTCCAATACTGCTAAGAGATCACTAAACATTATAAACAAATAATATTAAAAGCTTTGGATAAATTAAGAACTGTCCTTTTGAACTAACACAAATAACATCTTAATCATCAAGGAGTAAGTAGTTTAAGCATTCGGTAAATGTTCCAATGGACTTAAGATAGGCCTTCTATAAAAATATTGCCTGTGGGAGAGGGGGTATGTACCTCCAGTTCATTTAAAATCTACAATTATTCAATTAAGGTGGAGACCGGCAAATTATATCAAAAATACTTTCAAAACAAAACTATCTTTCGACTAAAATGTCTCAAATTATTCACTGAAGTCTTATGTTTAGTTCTAATCTCAAAAAAATTTTTAATTAAAAAAAGTTATTTGATGAAGTTTTCTGATACTACAAGAACACATAAACCATTAATGGGAATTTTTATACCCACATGTAATTTGAATTAGGAAAATGAATAGTAGTAGGAAGTGAGTAAATAAAATGGATGTGGCAAAGCATACAACTTAATAAAATCACATATCTTTTGGGGTCCACACACAAAACTTACAGATATAATACGTGTTTTCTTTGGTGGTAAAGGAAGAGGAATGTTAGATGAATTTCGATTTATGGCAGCCTCGATGGCAATCATTTCCTGTTCATACATCTTCTTGATCTTGCAGCATTCCACAAGTGTGAAATGGGGCAAGGTCCTGTTCATTACACAGTTCCGTATATACTACAACACCAAGAAAGAATAACGATTATCAAGGATATGTGTAAATAATTTGAGGAATAAAATTAAATTTAGCAACATGATACCAAATGCACTGAGAAGTATATCTTAAACTATTTAAGAAAGAAAAATTAAAATCACAATATAAACCAACTACCTTAATTAACTTTTATCTCTAAGAAATGAGCTAGACAATTCTTATACGTTAATCTTCAACTCTACAAGAAAGATTATTCCCTGTTCAACAGATTAAAGAGTTTAAAATCAGGAGACTTAAATTAAAAATCTACTATCTTTAAAACCTGGATTTAATCTACTTGTTTGACAATTAGGTTTCATTTTGAGCAGTCAGAAAGTGAGTATGCAGTGTACACCAGAGGCTATTTCTTAACTACAAACTAGAGCTGGTACCTTTTCAGCACATGGCTCTAAGCAACTTTACTATCTTCCCAGTAAAAACCAACAAGGCATATCTTCTCAGTTTGATGCTCCATACTATCAAAGTTACTCACATGATCAAATTCCTAACAAACTGAACAGATATCAAGATTTTCTTCACAAAAATATATATAAATTTTAAAATAAACATTTCCAGAATGACCTATAAATACGTGTTGTGTGATCTTTTAAAAGATTTCTTATGTATGCATATAAGAGCTGGGATATAAGCCAGAAGTTGGGGGGGATGGTAGGGGAATTCACCAGGGACAAAGTGGGGAGCAGAAGAGACAGATCCACTGAAATATACTGCTGACAGGTACAGGGTTTGGGACTGGAGAGGTCTGCTGCACCATGTGGGTCAGCTCCCAGCAGAGCCAAGGATAGAACTCGTACTACAGTAGCTGAAGATTGTTTCATAGTGCTGAGACTTAAACCCTTGTGCCACCAGGGAGGCCCCAGGTGTTGTATAATATTATAATAGAATAGTTATTCAGAAACTTTTCACTATGATATACCATCCGGGTACTCATTGGTGGCACAACAGGTTAGGATGCAGCACTGCAAACTAGCCACGCTACTTTCGTGCAAATTCGACCCCAGGCCCCCGAGGTGATCCACATGGTATGGCAGACCTCTCCTGGCCTGCCCGCTGCTCCCCTCAGCAGTGTACTTAGTTGATCTACCTGTTCTGCTCCCCACTCTGTCTCTGGTGAATCTTCTCACAGCCCCTGCACCTCTGGAGGCTTGTAACCCGGTTCTGTATGCATAAATAAATAAATCTTTAAAAAAGAGAGAGAGAGAAGAAAAATATACCTTCCCATTTCCTTCAAATTCTTTTGCCTGCATTGTATGTGTCTTCTCTCTTATATGACCTTGTCCCAAAACATACACAAACCTTTTTCTTTATAACAAATTTCTAACAAAATGATACACCTTCTATTTTTTTTTTTAAAGTTTAAAGAAGCAGAAGGCTACCTAAATTCAGGCAGAACATGAAGAAAAGTCAGTATTTCTATCTGCTGCTACACACTTATCCTTTTCTTCCTCCTCCTGATAAGTGGGAGTTCAAGTGCTTACTCTCAGAATGTGACAGTTTCCAAAACCTGCAGATACAACTGCTGGTATACCATGTATGTACTAACCCTTAAGAAGTAAGGTTACACCAGAAATATGAAGATAGGAATTTGAAATCCCTTTACCTGCTAATAAATCATTGAATCTTTATCCTAAGCTATCACTTTATAATTTGGCCTGTATCCCTCTTGCTTATAACAGAACAACTAAAAATTAAATTACAAGAATAATTAAGTGCTTTTCCAATTTATTTGTAACTTGATACTTAGCCTATTATTCTTTATGTAATGACCTTTTTTATTAGACTCAAAATGCATTCCAACAAAAATATCCTCAAGTTCCTTGAGGGTAATTCCAAGATTCTGTTCATTAAACAGTATATCTTAGGAGGGAAGAGGTGTTGTAAAATAATCTGAAGCACTTCAGTGCCTTAATAAAGCATATATCCCAAGAAGCATGATTAAAAGAAAGTAACTATCCATTCTGTGGGGGTGGAGTGGGGAATGGGACCAAAAACGGGGGG